CCCCCCCCCCCCGCCCTGCCCCAGGCATTTTCTCAGGTTCAGCTCAGCACTCTCTCCAGTGGTAAAGTGACCTGGGTATTGATTGTGCACAGAAAAATAAAGAGTGCTGCCTCTGCTCCAGCCACCCACTGCAAAAGCCTCCTCCCTACTCCTCCTGAGCAAACGGCCGGCGATTTTCAACCTGTGTTCACGGTGGGTCTTCGTCTTTCATCTTCCAGGCAGTTCACCTCTTCCAGATTGCTTCTATTTTAAAGGGACGCCCACACCCAGGAAATCCCCTGGAAGGGGGTATTCAAAGTCATTCTCAAGGCCAGCTGACCACCTTTCAAAGGTGCATTACGTACATCTGAAAATAGAACACCTAATGCGCTGGGGTTTGGCTGAGTGATTACAGGGACTGTAATAGATGCTATAAAGTCACTTCCATTTATAGAATGTTCAAGAGTTTTGAGAAGTGCCTTCGTGTGCTTTCTTCAGTTCGTCATCACACATCTGTGGGGTGTGGAGGGCGGGGATTATCACTGCCACTTTCCTAACAGGAAGTAGTATAGCTACATGGCATACAGCACGGGCCCTGGTGCTGCTCTTGGTGCCTCAGTTTCCCTCTATGTAAAACAAGGGTAATGATAACACTTGCCTGATAGGACTGTTGTGGGGTTTGGGGAAAGCACTGTGGGCCTGGCTCACTGCCAGGGCCTTATGTGTGATGCCACCGGGGTACAGGGGAAACTGCTCCCAGTCAGGTGTTCGGACCCGAGGTCCCCACGCAGGTGTGGGGTAGAGCTGGGGTGGGATCCATGTCCTAACCCTTCGAGCGGAGCTGTGGCCCTCCCTGTGCTGCCTTCCTGGGCTCCAGCCTGGAATCTCCCCAAGGAATGCATCTCCAGGGCAGCCCACCGTGTTCCATGTTGGATGGGACCGGGCCCCTCAGCCCACACCAGATGGAGGGTAGCAGCCCTCTGAGGTCTAGGGACACTCAGGGTGTCCGTGGTTAAGGGCTCAGTGATCATTTGTCTGCTGACCCCCAGGACCCTGACACCCTCGATTCGTATGGCCCCCGTGAGCAGGGGACGCTTCTCAGGCCTGGGGGAGCCTGGGTAAGCCCTTGGCTCCCTTCCCACTGGCCTCAGGGTTTTCGCCTCGGGACTTTCACTGTGTCCTCCCCTGCCATGTCCCTTCCTGGGGAAGTCCCGTGCCACCTCAGTGTCCAGGCAGAGGGCAGCAATGTCACCGTGAGGCTCCTGGGTTCCCTGGGCAGGACCTCCCTCTCCACACAGCATCTTCCTGTCAGTATGAAGCATGTATCACACCGGTTAAGGACACCCACTCCCCCACTTGCCATGGGGCTCTCCAAGGCCCAGGCCCAGGCCTCATTCCCCCGGGATCCAGCCCTGCCTCGCAGACGGCTCACATCCGTGCCCAAGTGAAATGGCCTGAAAGATCATTAGCACAAGCGTCTCCCCTTTTTCTCGGGAGCAGGGGCAAGCAGGGGGACCTATGAGAACGTCCACCTCCTTTGTCCCGAGTTCTGTGCGACCAGGCACCAGGGGAGTCTCCCAGGAAAAAGCTTCCCTTCGGAGTTACCAAGGCTGGACTGGCTTTCTGGGAACCAGTGAATAAAACGATGACCCCGAGAGAATCAAGGGGACGAGACAGGAGAGACCAGGGCAGAAGGCTCAGGGACGTCGCCGCTAACTCTGGTGGGACAGAGACACACCCAGGCTTGGCAGCCTGCCCTCGGCAGCGTGTGCTGAGAGCCAGTGAAAAGTCTGCTCTCAGTTGGCGTCATTAGTTAAAACCTTTCTGACTCACAGAAATGCGGTGACAGAACAGCTAAGGGCCTAAACACCAACTCCCGAGTCTTGAGGAAGCTTTAATGTTGTAGCGCCCGATCCGGCAAGGATGTCACTGGGAAGCTGTCCTTTTACACTCTGCTTGGGTGTCCCTGATTCCACCCCAAGCTCAGCCTGGATTGTTCAAACCCCACTCAGCCTCCTCCTTTCACACTGACCTGCCCCTTGTAATGCCCGGGGTCGGGCTGCTCACACATCATCTGGTGAGTGACCCTGGGAACTTCTCTAGGACTTTGTATTTCCAGGGCCCAGGCAAAGCTTCGGCTCACTGGGCTGGCATATCGGCTTGCCACCAATAATTTTTTTGAAATATTTTTTTTATTGATTTAAGAGAGGAAAGGAGAGGGAGAGAGAGTTAGAAACATCAATGATGAGAGAGAATCACTGACCGGCTGCCTCCTGCACACCCCCTATTGGGGATCAATCCCACAACCTGGGCATGTGCCCTGATGGGGAATCAAACTGTGACCTCCTGCTTCATGGATGAATGCTCAACCACTGAGCCACACCGGCCGGGCTTGTCACCAATATTTGAAGAAATTACAAACATCCTCCAATTGTCCAAGCTCAGAAAGTTTTGTAGCTCAGTGTTGGCAAGGTTGTGGGGCCACAGCACGCCAGAAGGCAGTGTGGCAGGCCTATCGAAGTTAAAAATGCACGCACCACCCCTGGAAGTAACATAAGGTAGTGCTGAATGTCAGCTCTAATTGACAAAGAAAGACACCCACGTGCCTCGGACCCAGCAAGTGCTACAATGGAAAGAATTAGCACCTGCTGAGCATTTGCAGGGGTAGGTGCTGCCTCCAACACTGCAGCACGTTAATTCACTTAGTCCTCACAAAACCCTGAGGCAGGTGGAGCATCCGCCCATCTCACAGACGAGGCAGCTCCAGCAAGTGGCCTTCAAACCATGTGTCCAAGGTTCCCCCGCCAGTAAGAACACAGGTGCCTGGTTTGGGGGTGAGCTCGCTTAACTATTGCACTGCACGATACCCCTCCACAGTTCTGTACTATCTATTACCACTGAAGTATTTATTGTCTATAACAGAGAAAAACTAGGATGGCCTAAATATACAGCATAAGGGAGGGTTAAATATACTGTGGTTTTTCTGTTCAAGGGAACACCAGACAGTTGTTGTTTTTTTAAAGAAAACCATAAAGCCGATATTTGATATGGAAGTGTACTGATGGGTTACAACCTTGAAGCTATAAAAGTGTAAGTTAGAAAAAGCAGAGTGCAGGAGAGTATCCTACCATTTGTGGAAAAAAAATGCCTGCATATGCACGGTATGGCTCTGCAAGGAGAAATTAAAGTAAAGAAGAAATTTTAAAAAAGCAAAACAAGTAGACAGGGAGCTAGGGGGAGGGGCGTGCTTGTCGCTGCACACCTGCCACACCTGCTGAACCCTGCACCAGGTACGGAGTGGATTACCTATTTGAAAAGAACAAAATAAAACTGATTTAAAAGAACAAACAACACCTGCAAAGTGCGTCCCAGTGGCCTAATAGAAAACACAGCGCCGGAGATGAACTCTGTCACTGAATGTCCACATCGTGTTAACGCTGTCTGTGTATGCGTATTTCTTCCCTGAACCGTCTGCTCGGAGGTGCCCGCCTAGGACTCCACAACCGACTGTGGAAGGAATGAATAGCGTGATGCTAACTAAGTTGAGCCGCATGGACCTGACATTCATGAGGTTGCCCGCAGCCTGAGTAGCCCAGGGGTCTGTGTTCCCCTCTGGAAACTGAGCTCCGTGCGTGCAGACGAGCTGGGAGAGGCGTGGAGCAGGACCTCCCTCGGAGCCCCAGGAGGAACCAGCCCTGCCGACGCCTTGATTTCGGGCTTCTGGCCTCAAAGTGTGAGACAACACGTTTCTGTGCTCTAAGCCACCAAGTCTGTGATGGTTCATGGTGACAAACCAGGAAGGGCATACAGCCACCGGAGCCGAAGAGAGACACTCACAGGCACCGGTTTCTGCCCCGGAGCAGCACCCCTAAAAGGGCAGCGAGTGAGCTAGCATGGGAGCAGCTGATAGCAGGGAGGTGGAGGGAGGTGGCCTGGGCGTTGTTATGACTCTTAGGCTTCGGGCTGAGCAGAACCAAAGGCCCCCCTGGGCCCAGGGCCCCTTTCTCTGCCCGGCAGGCTGCTCTCAGCGGAGAGAAGAATCACCTGACAAGCCTGCTCTTTTTCACACCCCGTGGAGAACTGCTTAGGACTCTGTTTTGTTCCTGGCTTTTACAGAAGGATTTTGTAGTGATTTATTTTTTTCCAGGCGTTTTGGCAGCTCTGAGGGGGACAATAAAAAAGCCCATTAATGCCAGCATGTGCCACCGGGGACGCTGGAGGGCTGACACGGAGAGACAGCCTTAATTAAAGCCGAAGGCGCGGGGCTCACCTGGGTCTCCGAGTCGCCGCGGGGCGGGTAGTCCGGTTCCGGGGGCCCGTCCTCGCCTCTTCGGGGACATCCCTTATTCTGTTGGATGAATTCTTCCAGCCTTAACACCTAAAAGAGAGGAACAGAAATGCTTGGCAATGACACCCGTCTCCTGGATGTGGCCCTTAATCTGGGAGTTCCTTCTCCTGGGTCCATCAGTTCCGGGGACAGCGCCCCATTAGACTAGTTCAAACATGCTCCAGAAAGGCCATTTCTTTTTTAAAAAAAAATATTTTTATTGATTTCAGGGTGGAAGGGAGAGAGAGAGATTGAGCCCGAAACCCGGACATGTGCTCTGACTGGGAATCGAACCAGGACCTCTTGGTTCCTAGGTGGATGCTCAACCACTGAGCCACAGCGGCTGGGCCAGAAAGGCCATTTCTAACCAGCCGGCTGTGTAGCGGTCCCAGAAGAAGCCGAGCCTGCAGGTTTGAAGGAGTCCACACCTCCCTCATATGACTTACACGCGCCTGGCTATACTGGAGCTGCTTTTCATTGGCTTCCACACCATTTCCCATGATTTCTTTTCTTTTTTTTTTAAGTTAATTGGTAAAGAAAAGAAACTATTCTACACTAATAAAAGAGAAAAAATGGTAATTTGGCATATGACCGCTACCCTTCCCATTGGCTAATCAGATATCCTTATGCAAATTAACTGTCCCCCAAGATGGCGGTCC